AAACTCCTTTAATTTTATTATGTTAGCGAAACTCCTTGAAATTTCCTTGGATTTTTACTTTGATCATTACTTGCATGGTTCTGAAATAGATCTAGTCAGAAAGATCAGAAAATCTCAAAGTCGGCCATGTGCAACCACCATGCAAAACCTTGGCATAGTTAACTGAACATACTCCTTGAAAATTCATTTTTGGGTCCTTGTATACTCCTTGAATTTTAAATCCTTACCTAGGCACGAACCCTGTTTTCATTTCGTTATAAAAATTCATTTCAAAATGCATTTATTCATTCGTTTTCAGAATTTGGTGTTTTTGTTAATTCTTCTGGTYGTCAGACAAGACAGAAGACCTTGATGTGGACTCGACTACCCCTAGCGTTTGGTAAGCTTTCAGTTTTAAAGTATGATTGCCGATAGGTAAAAAATTTAATCTGAGAAAGGAATGAAGGGTGTGTTTGGAGTTTGTTTGGTTTCTCGCTTGATTCGAGGGTTTTTCCCACCAGGCTCTATTTCATTTTTTCTGAGTTATCTGTGGCATTACTTACAGCTAGAGGAAGTTGTTTCACCGTGCGATTTATGTTTGATTCCCAAGACTCATTTCTCCATCTTTGATCTTTCTTGTAGCGTACAAGAAGCCATTCCTGTTCGTCACTCACTTCAACTCCATTGATGTATGTGAGATTCCACCAAGCAATTCTCCTGATGTCCAGTAAGTTACTTGATCTTTTCTTTTTATCAATTCTTGTCTGGCTTGAAAAGGGTTAGTTAGTTAATTTTTTCATCTTTTCACGGTGTATAATTTACCTTTTTATCATTACTGTATCATTTTTTCTATTTTGCCATTTCTATCTTTGGTTAAAACTTCTATAAGGAATCGATCACTAAAGCGTTCCCTGAACATCATTCAACGATTACAGTTTACTAACGTTTTTAAGAAAAACCTTCGAGGACAAGCATGGAAATATAGGTGCCCTTCAGTGGATCATTGTTGTTTCAGGGGATCATCTGTCTAGGGGAGTGCCGGTGAAACTCTCCCTCCAAATACAACAGGCACAGACATTCTTCATCAATTGTGCACTTCGTTTAAACGCAAAACACCCAATTTATCTATTGATGTAATATTTTACTTTAGTTCATTCACGCATAAGTTTATGGAGATCCAGAATCCACGAGTTCTCGGTCCAGCAGTCTTACCCGGAGCGGTCTACATCGTGTCCTCTTTACAAGACAGCGTTGAAATGCTTTGTTTCCAAGGCAGCTCTGCCGCTACCTCATCGTGCCAGAGCGACGAAGACTTCTCCGATTTCTCTCACTTGTCGGAAATGCTTCGGTCTATCTCCGCCACGTCGTTGGCTTCCGAGATTGGCTCGCCAGGCCGACACAATGACGATGAGAAAACGAAAACTCCCGGCAATCCCAAAAAGAGGCGTAGTTCATTTTTATCCAACGGTCCGTTCAGGTCCCCAAGTATGAGGAAGAGGAAATGCTATGAAGTCAATCACTAATTGTCATTGATGTTTGCCAGAATTTTGACTTATGGACTATAACCAATATTACTCCTAAAAGCAATGCTATATGTACCAACCTGGGTTAGTTCAGCATAGTTCTAATTTCCCATCACATTTTAACTATCTTTGTTCATTCTTTCCMCTCTTCCCTTAATCAGTTCTAATCCCAATCCCATCACATTAATTTTCATTTGAATCCATCCTTTTGGAATTATGTTAGCCAGGATGAATGGAGAATGCTACAGATGTATATAGAACACAAATAAATAATTATAGTAGACACCTTTGGTGATTAACACCGACAGCACACTGCTACGAAGAGTCTAGRGATTTGCTACCAACAATAAGGATTACAAGACGATATCGCCGGACCAGTTCGAAGAAATCCCATTTTGGGATGTAGACCTGTTCATATGTTTCTACGGTCTTACAAACTTTCTTTCATGCCTTCTGGTAAGGGCAAATTGATTGTTCTAATCTACACTCGAAGTTATGATAAGCAACACTGCCGTGTGACTATACTAGGAATAATTCACCGTCGAAGTACTAATTTTGTTACCGATTGGATTTTATAGTTTCAAGCCTCTTTCGCTTTAGTTTGGAAGAGTAAATCTGGGGAGTGGAGCAAATTGACCTCTTCGGCTTGGTGGTAATGTTTTCCCATTTCAGACCACGTGTCATTCCCTTGAGAATAAGATTCCTTTGTTTGAGCTGTATCCATATTCAGGTGTCTTCTCATGTCAATCGCGCGCAAACCTTAAACAAAGAAATGATGCTCTAGGGAATGACATGTGGTCTGAAATGGGAAAACATTACGTCAGAGCCGAGGAGGTCTATTGACCTATTGGGGAACAAGTGGGGTAGTCATTTACTTGCAAGGCTTAAGTTAAGAAAACCACACCTATTTTTATATAGATAATTGTRAATAATATGAATTTGTGCCACCAATAATACAATATATTAAAGCATGTTTAATTAACTCGTAAGAGAAGTGATTCATTTCTGTGTTAAGCAGTCACGCAAATTGTCTGAATTCCGTCTGCCAGTTTCATTTTATTGAGCGTAAAAAGATCTTTCAAAAGGGGGTTCCATTGAACCACCCCTGCATCCACTACTGGGTGTTAAGTTTTTCTTACACGAGGCACGCACATGTGTCACGATGTGTTTTAATGATGAGTAGCATGGGTGGCGTTTGCTACTAACGCGTCGTCTTTCACCGCTGTGAATCCAAGGGTCGGGTCGCCGGTTCGAGCGTTGCGGTCTCCACATGTGAATTGAGTTTATTTAATGTGTTGTTCTCTCCTATGCTACGAGGGTTTTTCTCCGGGTTCTCCGGTTTCCTCCCTCCGTAAAAATCAACATGTGAGTTGAGCGTTGTGTGCATAGAATACTAAATATAGTGGTAGTGCGTGTGAGCGAAAAGGGTCCCCAATTAGTGCGAAAGCCCTAGAACGAGTAGACACTTAAATAAAGTGATTTATTTATTTTAATGGTTGGTTAGAGTTTTACAGAAGATTAATCTGTTGTTTAAGAACTCACGCAAAGCAGAACTAAATACACCTGCTAACTAAGTATAATCAAGCAAGCGTTTTTGGAATAAAAATCAATCAAATGCATTGAATTGATGGAGGTCTTGCATAGACGTATTCATGTTATCGTGATCGCGAAAGTTGATTTCCTCGTTTGTACAAAAACTGAACTTTCCGTGTCAAAGATTTTTCGCAAGACTAAACAAATTCCCAGGTTGGACCACTGTTTCCTAACCCAGCACCAGTTTGATGAACAAAAATATTGATTCTATAGAGGGATTGTTTTCGAAATGAGTTTTTGGGGGTGGCGAAAAGGATGGGGGTCGTTAAATCGGTAAAGAAATGATGCTTTTTCTGTTGTATTTTAATATTTTTTGGTGCAGCCTGGCTGTTTTGTGTGTGTCGGTCAAGTGTACCACTGGTATTTCTTCTAGAGACAAACATTTACAGGAAAAGTTGAATGAGTTTGAAATTTCTATTCAAAGATTGCTCAGCCATAATGGAAGCTCCAAAACTAGCTCACAGCAGACGAGAGTAGTTGATACTTCATCTGGAAACGAGAATCTGGATTTACAAGTTAAAAGAGATAAGAAATTTGAAGAACGTTTAACGGGTACTCGGCGCGCGATACCAGCATCAATTGACATGGCGTATCAACCACAAAAACAAAATCCAAACGGTAATCGTAAAATTGTTTTTGAACAAGACGACGAGAGTGAAGAAACACAAGAGAAAAATAAAACACCTCTCGGTAGAGAACATAATCCTCTGGACACCTCGGGAGACGAAGACCATGAGAGTGAAGAGGAAAAGGATTATTCTACTGATGGGAAAACAGAAAATAATCCAGTCAAATATGGCAAAAATAAAATCGAAGATAATAGCAAAAAAGACTTCGAAGAAACCTCGGGAGACGAAGATCATGAGAGTGAAGAGGAACTGAAGGGATATTCTACTGAGGAGAAAATAGAAAATAATCCAGTCAAATATGGCAAAAATAAAATCRAAGATAATAGCAAAAAAGACTTCGAAGAAACCTCGGAAGGCGAAGATCATGAGAGTGAAGAGGAACTGAAGGAATATTCTACTGAAGAGAAAATAGGAAATAATCCAGTCAAATATGACAAAAATAAAATCGAAGATAATAGCAAAAAAGACTTCGAAGAAACCTCGGGAGACGAAGATCATGAGAGTGAAGAGGAACTGAAGGAATATTCTACTGAAGAGAAAATAGAAAATAATCCAGTCAAATGTGGCAAAAATAAAATCGAAGATAATAGCAAAAAAGACTTCGAAGAAACCTCGGGAAACGAAGATCATGAGAGTGAAGAGGAACTGAAGGAATATTCTACTGAAGAGAAAATAGAAAATAATCCAGTCAGATATGGCAAAAATAAGAGCAAAAATAACAGCGAAAAAGACTTAATGAACTCTAAAACCGTGAATGAAGTGGTTATTCCTAATGCTATTGATTTGGCATTTAATCCTAACGGTCCACAAAATACTAGTCCTACGAGGACAACAACAGCAAAACCTACAACATTATATTGGCCCCCAATGAGTGAGTACAAGACGTTTAGTTTTGATTGCTTGTTCTTAGCGCTCTCATCAATAGTACATAACCTAGGTTTCCTTGAATTTCTCGTTATTCTTTTCCTTTATGCATTTTTCTATTTATTGTCATTCTTTTTCACTCTTTTTTCTTGACAGCCCTGAGCAATCCCACAGCAAATCAAAGTAAGTTTGATTCAAGTTGATCAGGGAATAGTTAACGACCTTGACCTCCCCATTACAGGTCAATGTTCAAGGATCCATTTTAAGACCCCAAAATACGGTGACCTAGTAAATTAACCCTTGTCAAAAGTATCGTGAATGCGATATCTTATACTTGCATTCAAGACAATTTTAAGAAGGGTGCATGGTCAAGATATTTTCTCAATCCGACAACCCCCAAAATAGTCTTTTTAGCACTTGACACGTCAAATTGAAGGTGCAAAACTTCCCTTTTTAGTGATATTCTTTAGGTTTAGTAAGAGTAATAAGTCTCTTTTTCTATAGTTTGCAGGTCCGCAATAGACCTTGGGTTTCTGGTTGAAGCTTCTAAAAGTGTTGCACGCACGGGGACTGGTAACTACCGTCGGTTGATTAACTTCATCAAACACGTCGTTCTCAGGTTTTCCATAGGTCCCACGGCCACGAGGATTGGTGTGATTTCGTATGCGAACAGGCCCATCTCACTAATAGGCTTTAATGAGTAAGTACGTACCTTTCAAGTAGATAAATAGCTATAATTTTTTCACCACTTTTTTTTTATCGTAATTCTTGTATAAATTTTATTTTTCCAGTGGAGAAAACATCCTGGATGTTCTTAAATTCTTAAATCTTCCGTGTCATCACTGCTTGAATGCGCAGACCGGACTAGCACTATCTTTTGCACATTCATTTCTGTATGGTTGCTCTTGCAGTCTGCGTCCGAGGGTATTGGTTGTTGTTACAGATGGAAGGTAAAATCGATAATAATAATTTAATTATGATTTAATATAGTAATAAATTAAGTCAATTTACTTCCTTCATTCCTTCATTTATTAGCTTTTTTCCCTTTTTAATCAATATTTGTTTTTTTTTCTTCGAAGATCAAGCGACGGTGTTCATATCCCTTCAAGAATTCTCAAGCAAAAAGGCGTGAAAATCATAGCTGTTGGCGTTGGACGTTACTTCAACATCCATCAACTAAACGTCATGGCTTCTCGTCCTGTACAGGACAACGTATTCACGGGAGATTTCAGTAAAATCCACCACGTCACGAATGAGCTTGTGCGACAAATATGTAAAGGTAAGAAGATTTCACTGATAACATTTATACTGTAATATGAACACCAACTTATTACTCTAGTAAGAATATCCGAACATCTAGAAATCGTACGATTTAATTTTTCGTTTCTTTTTCAGTTACAGACGGTTCTATGGCCGTTCCTTCTAGCTCGTCTCCATGCAGTTGTCCGTAATTTTGTATCATTCTTCAATACAAAGTGCAAATTTCTTAAAATCATTCTCAGCCCACTTGCTTCGCTYGTAGTTGAGCATATACTCTTCCCTTGAAACAGGGTAGGGTATTTGTTTTGAGCATCGAGTTTAGAGCTGTTGCCCGGCCGGCTTTGGGTTTGTACCGTATATGAACGACAAGAAAAACCTTAGAAAAAATTTCATCTTTGAAAGCTTGTGTCAGACGCTTATGTTGCCCTTGTCTTTAGATGATTTTTTTTGTAGGTGAACTGGATTCGTTAAAATAAATGCAAAAACTGTTACATAACGAAAGGGTTGAAGATTGGTGTAGGGGTATGAAAAGGGACTTGCAGAAAAGCTTGTAGCCTTGTTACTACACCATAAAGTCATTCTCAATAAAACACACCGGATCATCGCCTGGAAACTCAAGAAGGTTTTGGTGGACGTCAATCAATGTTTTTCCATGGCCTTGTCGGGAAAGAAACGTTTCAAGAGCGCATGTATACCTATGGAATGTCATAGGAATGACAAAACTGTGTCTTTTATTAAAAAATAAATAGTATGTGCCAGCAAACATATCGTACCATTGTTATCTTTAAGAAATAACCATTAGCATTTTAAACGCCGATGAAAGACGTTTATACGCATGTTCAGAAAATTGGCGGGAAAATAGGRAACGTATCGAAACCATTCTAGTACCCAGTGTTCGGTGGAGGAACAAAACCGAGGAGCTCTGGGTCCTAGACTCAAAACAAAAGATTCATTATAAAATAACATTCAAGATTTTTTCTTAGACAAAGCTAGAAAGTCCGAACAAGTCCATGTGTTTTCTTCCACTTGTTAATTATTGAAGCATAAAAAGAAGTTCATTTTTACACGTTCCGTGACCCATCACTTTTTATTATGTTCTTACGTGTCCAATGTTTGTAAAAACAAATTGATCTACCTGCTGGTCATGAACTTTATGGAAATGAATAATATGAAAAAAAACAAAGTTTTTTGCTTATAATATCTTAAAAGTACACGCAACGGGTTTTACATTGTGTTATTTTATTGTTTCTTTAGAATTAGTAATTGCTGGTGTTTGAAGCCCTCCTACATGCAAAGTTATTATAAAAATATGGCAAGCTAAAAATAACCTTATTGCACCCTCTTAATAAATCCTGAGGTATAAAGGAAAGTCTTAGTTTTGAGTTTCTTTTTGCTATATATTCATATTATTGCAAATTCTTTGAATCTTAAAGATATTTATAATAATTAAGATATAGAGATATCCTCAACTACGAAAACACTTCAAATCAAGAAAAAGGTGGGCATTGTTTTTTTCCCTTTTCTGGTTTTTTTTTTCCCCTCAAAATTATTTGTTTTTCAAGATTTTTTTTTTTTTAACTTTAATCTTTGTTCTATTTAGTCTGACTTCCAAACATTTGACAGGTCTCAACAGAATTTGAGAAACAATGTACGCAAACATAAACAAACTAACCCACCACCTGTTCAATGACCCTTTTAAAAACTATAGTTTTTAACTATAGACGTCTTTATTATCAACCTCTGTCACGTTCAATCAAAACTGCTTTTTAAAACTTGTAAATTTGGGTAAAAATGATTCACCGTTTTCCCTGGGTTCAGGCTGTGATTTATTTGTATATCTTTTCTGGGATTCTTGGACTTGACAACAAAGCAACTCCACAAGAAAAACATCACGATGCAAAGGACATGAAACCAAAGAAATCCATTCTAAAACAGAGTACGACATGCGGTAGGTCAACAGTTCTTCATTATCAATTGTGGTATACATTATGATTTCCAAATATGCCAATTTAATAGATTTTTGAATAAAAGTCGTATATAATCGAGAATTTATCAGGGACGAATGATTTAGCAGTTCAATAAACGATCGCTTTCCACTACAGATTATTCTATTTTATGTCATTCATCTGAACTTGATCACACAAACACTGGGCCAGGACCAGAATGATTTACTTGGACGACAAACCAAATCGAATCCTTCAGCTTTGCATAGGTTTCTTTGTGGGATCATCGTGATAAATCCTACTCTTCTGCGGGTTTAATTACACCATTACATTTTTTTAAAAGTACGCGTTAACCGCATTTTTCTTCCTGGTTTGATTTCAGTCAACGCTCATTTAGTTTGCAAAGCACCGACACTAAATTACCAGCAACATAAAGATGACAGTAAGCTGGTTGCTACAAAACAATGCGTTCCATTCATCCCTTCCTGTCCCTGTGGTACGTACGTTGAATGTTCGATATCAGTGTGATAAAGTATCATATCAGTAATATTGATACGATATATCTTTACTCTAAACTGGAAATTTTGTTATAGTATCGACCCCAAATTAAAAGGCCTTCCTATGTTTCCCAGTAATGTTTTCAATTTTTTTGCCTTGGTTCCTAAAAGTTATTTAATGATATCCCTTGTTCCGTGAAAGTAGATGGTCATGTTCTCTCAAACCCCCTGGTAGGGGCTCATCCTAAATGTATAATAAATAAATTGTTACATGTTAAGGGCCTGATATCTTGTTTATTCACTCGTTTTTCATATCATATCGCTTACTTAGTGCTAGTGGACTCGTTCTTTCGCGATATGATATGAAAACTCGTGAATAAAAACGATATAAAGCTCTTAACCTGTGATCATCTCTATTTGTTCTTTTTAGCCATACAACGATTTTCAAAGATATTGATGAAAAAATAATCTATTGATA